TAATGTTCAGGAAGCAGTCTCTTGTACCAATTAATTCAAGGGTATTTCCCACTTTCTCTTCTAGAAGATTCAGTGTGGCTGGGTTTATGTTTAGCTCTTTGATCCATTTGCACTTAAGTTTTGTGCATGGTGACAGATATGGATCTATTTGCAATCTTCTGCATGTCTGAATCCAGTTGTGCCAGCACCATTATTTGTTGAAGATGATATCTTTCTTCCATTTAGCATCTTTGTCAATAATAAAGTGTTCATAGGGGTGTGGGTTAATATCAGGAGGATTTCTTTGAGTTTGAGGCCAGCCTGGTCTATACAATGAGTTCCAGAATAGTCAGGGCTACTTAGTGAGACCTTGTCTCAAAAAGAACCAAACACAAAAAGGATTGCTTACATATATGAAAAGGCTCTGATAAAACCCATTATTATGCATAATTATTATACTCTAACAAGGCATTTAAAAAGAAAATTGTCTTAAGGGTAATGAATTTCTATTTCTAAAGGTCACAAGGTTATGGACATGGAAGGTGACAACACATCTTTCATCTGGGGTCTGAGTGCATTGGACAGGGCGTGCAACAAGGATCCAGCTGTGGTGTGAGCTGGTACAGCAGCTCCTGGGACTACAGCCTTGTCTTTGCTCTGGCACAGATACAGTAGGGGAACCTTAGGTCTTGCCACATATCTGTCAGGGTAGTGATATACAATTTAAAATTTGCTGCTAGACATGACTCTTTGAAAACAGCACAGTGCAAAGCAATGGCAGCTCTTATTTTACACAGTCACTATGCTGTAACAAAAATGTTTGGAAATCCTGGGGAAAATATCTGAGTTTGTTTCCACAGAGCACATTTGAGTTACAGAAAGTCACACATCTTAAGGAGAAAACAAAAGTTATCCAGGTGTATTTAGGATGGTCCCATGTTAGAACATCCCATGTGGCCATCAGTAAGCTGATGGAAGAAAAATAGTGGTTCCCGACAGAAGGAGGACAAGATGCTAATGAAGGCAATGGCACATGCAGATGTTCCAGAAGAGTGAAGCTTTCAAATACAAATACTCCAGGAGCTGAGAGGTGACTTAGTAAAGTGCTTACTGTGCAAGCCTCACACCTTTTTTTTTTTTTTTTTTTAAAGCCTGGCATGGTGGTGAGTATTTACAATCCTGGTGCTAGGGAGGCACGGAAAAGTAGATCCCTGGAGCTTCTTAGTTAGCCTGTCAAGGTTTCATGGCCATGTCTAAGCAGCAATGTTCTTGTGCACCAAGGAGAAGAATTGGACCAGGGATACAGGGTTGAAGGAGGAGTGGAAATTACTCCTGAGAGTGGGAGTGGCCAGTGGCCTGAGGGAAAAGTCCCTAAATAGCTCACAGTCCTTTGTAGGTCATTACACAGCTGCCACTCTGTCACTTGTATCTGGACTTATCTTAGGTGTGCTCTGTTTGTCATCTGTAGCCCATGTGGGGAAGACTTGTCTTTCTCTGCCAGTGGCTACTTTTATGTGTCAATCTTGAGGCTGCTTCCTTTAGTCCTTACTTTCTAAAAGGTCTCTCCTGTGGGGGCCAAGGAGAACACTGAGGTGGATTGCCTTTTTGAGTAATAAGTTTATTAGAAGAGTGATTAATGCCAAGAGAGGGCAGACAGAAAGACGACAGTATAGCAGGGGCTGTAAGGAAAGTTGGGGTCTGAAATCCACGGATAGGCAGACAACATGGTAGGGGTTGTAAGTGTGTGTGTGTGGGTCATTTCTTATAGATCTCAGAGGAAGGTGGAAGATTTAGTAGTTGTCTCTGATTCTCCAGCCAGTGGCAAGGGAGGTGGGAAGAAGGGAATTCTGGGGTAGGAGGATGTATCTCCATCACTAACCCTGGTAATGTCTTAGGAATCTTGGCAACCAGAGATCTGTGAACTTCCTTGGGGAGGTGAGGATGGAACCTGTGATTCTCCCAAGGTCTAGGCACCTGGACTTAGGAACTCACTGATGGATGGTACAGGGGCTGTGGCTTGGCAGTCTAGTCTAGGCTAACATGTCCCTATAGCATCTGAACAGTCTTTTGGCACCATCACCTGAGGGCCAGGCACATCTAGATCCTTGGTGTCTTGACCATGAGTGCTGGACCAGGAAAAAGTCTGATCATGGAGATGTCAGCTCCTCAGATCAAGGCACACACAGGCTGAAAGTGACAGCTGCTTAAAAGGAATTCCCAGAAACTGGGAGACATGCTCCTGCTTGAGCAAAGAGGTGGGCAAGACCCTCCTCAGGGGAATCTCCATGGCTAAAGGGAATGGGGTATTTGTATACCCGTGTTCAACAGTCACTGAATGACTGGGGAAATTATTTCCTGGGTGCCTCAGTCTGAAGAATCAGCTACACCAACCAGGGAAGATCTAAAAATCATGGGGGAGATGACTTTCTGGAAAGGAGCTTCTAGATTTGGTGGTGGCAAGGCAATCCTAAATAGAGAAGGCACCATTTTATGATCCGTAGTCCCAGACTGAGGAGAGAGGAGAAAGTGAGCAGAGTACCAGCATCCATCTCCGCTCTCTGAGCAGTGTGAGCTGCCTTGTACCCCTGTGCCACAACTTCACCTCTGTGATGGATTTGCACCTTCAAACCAGGAGCCTCCCTCCTGAAGTTGTTTTTGACAGGTGTTTTTGTCGGTGTGAGAAAAGATAGATACCAGCCAAAGGGCTCCGGGGAGGTGGGGGAGGAACTGAGCAGATTTATAGGGAGTGTGCAGGGATGTGACTGAGGCTCAGGGGACATGGCGGCTGTGACATCACAATGAAAACGCAGCTGTGACATCACAATGAAAATGAGCTGATTTTTGCAACAGGAGCAGAGTTAGTTAAGGGGAAGCATCCAGGTCCTGAATGTATCCTATATCTGGTAACAATACTAAGCTGCCAAGATAGAGGAGGACCATGAAACCTGAACCATGGGAAGCCTGAACCACTCCCCACCCTGGAAAAGGAATTGGAAGGAAGCAGTGGGCCCAACCCATAGAGATGAGGAATCTGACTGAGAAGAATAGGCATTTTTATTAAAATCCTGATGCCAACAGACAAGGAGAAGGGGCACAGGCACAAGTTGAGTTCATCCACCTGGTATTGGAGTTTGGGATGCAGAGGTTGAGATGGACTGGCTTTCACTTGGTGGTGCATGATGAGGTTGAGGCTTTCTTACAGATCCAGAAATTCAGGGAATCACATTTGAGATCATTCCAGCCATCCTTAGAGAACTCTGCACAATCTTCGTCTCCGACATTGTTGGGTTCCCCTTTATTCCAATACTGCTCAAAGCTGCAAAGTCAGTTTCGACAGTTAGTTTTAATGGTTAAGTTGACACAATCTAGAATAACTGGAGACTAGAGTCTCAATGAGACACTGTAAGATTAGGTTGGCCTGTGGAAATATTTATGAGGGATTTAAAAAGCAGGGTTAATTGAGATGAGGAAACACACGAATATGGTGTCATCATTTCACAGGCTGGTGCCTGAAACGAGTCAAGGAGTGTAGCCATCCTCTCTCTCTGCTCCTTGGTTCCTGCCGTGGCACCCCTGCAAGAAAGGGTTGTGTGCTGGCTAGTTTTATGTCAACTAGACACAGGCTAGAGTCTTTGGAGTGGAGTGGAGGGAACCTAAACTGAGAAAATGTCTCAATGAGATGGACTATGAGCAAGCCTGTGGGACAGTTTCCTAATCTGTGATTGATGGGGAAGGGCCTGGCCCATTATGGATAGGAATACCCCTGGGCTGGTGGTCTTGGCTTCTATAGGAAAGCAGGCTGAGTAAGGCATGGAGAGCAAGCCAGTGAGCAGCACCCTCCATGGCCTCTGCAGCTCCTGCCTCCAGTCTTCCACCTTGCTTTAGTTCTTGTCTTCCTTCAGTGATGGACTACAGCTGTGAAAGTGTAAGCCAAACAAACCCTTTCCTCCCCAACTTGTTTTTGGCCATGGGGTTTCACCAGAGCAATAGTAACCCTCACTAACAGACTGTAACACCAGTCCACAGAGCATTAGTCTGCCCCAATGGCATGCTACAAACCACAGTTTGAGCTTCCTGAAGCTCAATGCTTTCACATCCTCCCTCAGTGCACGTGGCCTCTCCTCCCCTTCCTTTCCTTTCATCTTTCCTTTCTTTTTTTAGATATAGGGTCTAACATAGCCTAGGCTGGTCTCAGACTCACTATGTAGCCAAGGATGGACTCGAATTTCTGATTTCCATGTCTACCTCCCAAATGCTGGGTTTATAGTCATGTAACCCACACTTGGTGTAGAGTACTGGGGACAGAGCCAGGGCTTTATGCCTGTCAGGCAGCCACTCCAATCAGCAGCTAGCCCAATCTTTTCTATGGTAATAGTCCCCTCACCTGGTGGCCTCACTTTATTTGATAGTTTCTATTTATATCCTGCATTAAAATCCACACCCCTCAGGGGTAAGTTTCTCGCTGCTTTGATGGTGGGATTTGCTGCTATTCTGTCTATGCATGGGTAGGAAGACCTTCTTCCATCAGCAAATGTGGGCAGCTCTTATTCCTAAGGGGCTAGGGAGCAGGGGGGTGGGAAGCCCCAAAGCAGCTCAAGTAAGTGTCAGAGATACCCATACCACTGTACAGAGTGTACCTTTCATTCTCCACCTACCTGGGTGACAGAGTTGAGCCATCCACCCAGTGCCACGTGGCTTCATTATGCATGTCTGACAGCCCCATCCAAGTTGGTCCTTTAGCCTTAGAAGTCTGCTGCAGGAAGGTCTGCAGTGGGGCAGGAGGAGGAGTCTAAGGAGGAGAGCGTTTATCTCCCTGAACTCTTACAGAAAGTTCTACTTGCAATCTGACCTTCTACCTTCTGGGCACTCATGGGTACCTAGGTGGTTGCAGCTGTTTACCCACACACACACACACACACACACACACACACACACACCCTACCTTATAGGCAGACAGACTATGGCACATAGACACACATAGCTGATTTTCCTTCAAACACACTTAGCACTGCTGCAGTGTTGTTTGTCTTTGGAGTTCTGAAAACGTCTATAGGAATTCACTCATGACTGACTTTAATGTGATGGAAGCATTCATACCAGTTCGTAGTTGCTAAAGATGCATACCCACTCTGTACAGCTCTGCACTGGGTGATATCCCATTGATGAGGATAAACACCAAGGAACAGGAAGCACTATACATTAAGATTCCTTTTGTTTTGCATGTGTGTATATGTATAGTGTCTCTATGTATATGTGTGTCCATATTTGTGACATATAATGTGCAAATGGGTATGGAGATCAGATGCCAGCATCTGGTGTCTTCTTCAATTGCCCTCTACTATTTTTTGAGATAAATTTCCCATTGGACCCGTAGCTCACCAAGTCAGGTTGCCTAGTGGCTCAGCAAGACTAGGGGATATGCTGTCTCTGCCTCCCCATACAGGCATTAAGGGTGGGTCTAATAGCTTTCAAAGTACCTGGTGGTGCTACATGGCTGCTACAGGAGAAACATCAACAACAGTCTTACTCATCAGTGAACACCATTGCTGCAGTAATGGCCAGCCTGGCAAGACATACCCATGGGTGAGCATCAGCATGAATGCTATGGGAGTGACCACCTGCTTTCTACTTGGATTTAAGGCCCACCCCACAAGAGGAAACACACGCTTGGCACTTTAAATCTGGGCAATAACCCGTGGGTAGGGAGCTTATGGGCCCCAGGGGTAAACATATTGCTATTATTTTGCTAAGGGGAAATACTGTTACACTGTCCTCTAAATTCATGTCTCTGTACCTGGAGATTAGTATAGTTCTCAAACCTCGTCAGAGAAGTGTCTCTGTGTAGTGGATAGAGGCTAAGACAGAATCTCACAACTGGTCAAAGTGCAGGGGATAAGTGTGTCTGTGGCGTGCACAGCCCCAAATGGGACATCTCTGTGATACCTACCCTTAAGGCTCTGGGAGCATCAAGGAAGAGGGGGCAGAAAGATTGTGAGAGCCAGAGGCTGGGGAGGCATAACAGACTGCTGCACTCATGAACTCTCAGCAGTTACAGTTGCCTGCACAAGATCAAGATTGCAAACACTGCAGTATGGAGAAGGGAGGTGTTCATGAGGAAAGCTGATGTCTTCGGGGCGAGGAGGGAAAGTCAGTTTTCTTAAAACTGATAGGCTGGTCAATCTCTAGTGGATAGCTCCATGTACATGAGTATCTGGGCAACATAATTGTACCCAGTGGGATATACAAAGAGGGAGAGGCCATGAAGTTGGGAGGGGATGGACGATGGATTCAGGAAGAGTTAAAGGAAGTGGGTGTGTGTGAATAGGATCAAAACGCATTGTAAGCATGTATGAAAGTATCAAATAATAAAAGTATTATATATTTTAAAGATGTGGGCATGATACCCCCTCTCTCTCTGTCTCTGTCTCTCTCTCTCTGTAGTGAATGCGCATATGTGTGTGCAGGTATTTGTAACCATGAGTGCGCATGCAGAGCCATAGGAAGATATTAAGCATCCTGCTGTACTGCTTTCCACTTAGCTCTCTTGAATGAGGATTTCTTACTGGGCTTGGAACGAGGCTTGCACTCAGCAAACCCCAGGGATCCTCCTGTCTGCAGGCCTCATGCCCAACGTTGGGCTTAGAGGCACATTCGAGCAGTTTCTTCCCATGGATGCTGAGGCTCCCAACTCAGGCCTTCATGGCTAACCAGCAAGCGCTCTTACCCACTGAGATGTTGCCTCCAACCCCACGACCAGCTTTCAAGTTGTGGTTTCAAACTCAAGTCCTTGTGTTTGCAAGGCAAGCACCCTCTTAACGGACATCTCCCTAGTTTCTACTCTAGCAGGACATCTATCCTTTGGTGAGGAAGGTGTTCAATATTGCCTGGCACGCAGGATAGAAACTAGATTTTAGGCATTCTGCAAAACATTTAGAAATGTTGAAGTCTTGTGTGTGGTTCCCCAGAGAGGACATGGGACCCTTATTCCTACCCTTCTCTCTTCAAGTAGAAAAAACTGCATCTTACTCAAGATTCTTGTCTGACAAATGGTCTCACTCTCAGGTGACCACAGCCAGATGTGTGTGTCAGACAAGGGTGGTGCCCCACCAGTGTACCTGCTCCTCATCAGTCTCTACAATGACCAGCTGGGCTCCCACCTCCTGGCAGGCAGTGACGGAGTTGTGCCAGTTCCGTTGGGACTTGGAGAAGAAGTAACAGTTTCCATGGAAGAACGTCCAGTCCCTGGGGCAGGGTTGACACAATCCATCTGTTGGGGGAAGCAGATTAGATGGACATACTTAGAAGCCCTTGCTCCCATTTCTCTTTAGCCTTTAAGGTCGCCAGAGCTAGGACTCTTCTTCACCACTGCACTCTGAGGAGCACTTCCCGTCTCTTTCCTTACCTTCTTCTTCACCCAGATGAATCTGGAAGTCCTAAGCCCATCTTCTCCACACATGGAGAAGTAGGGCCTTAGAGTTCAGAACAGAGGCCAGGACTAGCTCAACTGAGTACCTACTGTGTGCACAGCCCCTGCAAACTTAGAAGGCCCACAATGTGTATGGCCCTTGTTAACACTGAATGCCCCCTGTGTGCAAGACTCTGGTGACCACCAAGTGCTTGCTGTGTGGATGGTCCCTGTGAGCATTGTATGCCTACTGTGCACACAGCCCCTTTGAACATTGAGTGTCTGTTGCTTGAGTGGTTCCTGTGAACACTGTCTATTCTGCACACAATTCCTTTGAAGACTGAGTGCCTACTGTGCACATGTCCTGTAAATACCAATCTCATCCTCTGTGTTCTGTTGTGATCTCAGTTCACAGAGGAGGAACTTAAGGCCCAGAGAGGTCGAATGACTAAAGGGAATGGGCTCCTCTCCCATGGAGATCTGAGGCCCGGATCCCTTGTTTCTGGTCACTCACCATGCACGTCAATCTTCAGCTGCATGAGCTCCTGGTAGATTTTGTCCTGAACCTGGGAGCTGGGGACCTTTGAGACTTAACCAAGAAAGAAATAAATAAAATCCCTGCTGTTATTAAATCCTTCTTTTTGCCATGGCCTGCCCTGAGTCCCTTGGGATTTTGTGTCAATTTTTAAAGAGCCATCTCACTATGTTGTTACTGATTCCCCTGGGTATATGTCCTCATGCTATTTCAGCTTTCAGCTTCATAAGTAGCTAAGATTTCAGTCACATGCTTCCACCTGTGTCTAGAACAACTTCTGGCTGATGTTACTAAACAATTTTTGATTGTTTTATTCTATGTATGTGAGCGTTTTGCCTGCATCTGTGTATGTATATAAACCAGGTGTGCTTGTCTGGTACCTGAGTGAACAGAAGAGGGTGTTGGATACCCTGGAACTGGAGTTATAGATGATTGTGGGCCACCATGCTTATGCTGGGAACCAAACTCAGGCCCTCTGGAATGACTTCTGAGATAACTCTCCAGTCCTTGGTTAATAACCTTTAAAGGCCAGGAAACTAGACAACCAGAGTAGGGTGAACCCAAACACTAGGAAAATGAAGCCACAGCTCTTTTCTGTGTCCCTGCTCTCTGCTCTCTTACACCAGAGATGAGGGAGGTGTCTCTGAGAAGTTCCTAGAAGCCATCAAAAGTTGTGTTACCAACTTGCACTCCCATTTTCCCCATACAGGCTCTAGGGCCAGATCAGAGAGCTGAGGCCTCCATTGTGCCTGACCTAGGCCAAGAACGATCAGCAGGAGCCCAGCCAGGAACAAGAAGGAGAGCAGCTGCAGGACCAGGGGCTTGTGGCTATGCTTCAGATACTCTGCAGGAGAGAAGGTAGTGGTATTAGAGCCTGGTGCCCCAGGATTCCACCCCCAGTATCCATCTCCCTAAGACTGAGAAGTTTAGAGTCCTGATTCCAATTTCCCAGGACCCACTTCTGGGAAGGGTTTTCACTTTTCCTCAGCCCCTCACCATTGCTGTACCTGCCAAACTTTTGATTCTAAAATCTGGTCGTAGTCCAGAGCTGACAACAGAATACCTGGTGCTACTGATCAGACTCTCTTCATCCTCTGGGGGAACAGAGCATCAGTCAAGGCCTGGGCAGGCTCAACCATGAGCTAGCTGCCCCTCAGGACTCCTTGCTGAGGTCCCACAGTCCCAGCCCGTCCTCACCCAGAGTGCCCAGTTGCTGTAGCCTTGGTTCTGTGGTGTCACTCATGGTCATTGCTCTTGCTTCGTGTCTGGAGCTGCCGGAGACCACAGCTTTTATTTGTTGTCCGCTGATGCCTGCTTCCTAGACATTCTTATGGGAAGAGAAAAAGGAACTGAGTGTTGACTGTGGAAGAGCTCGAGGGAGGGGCTGCACTCCTGACACAGCACATCTGGTGCCAGATAAACCAGGAATTTTTAGGGAGAGGTTTGGGAAGTTTGGGGTACGTAGCAGAAAGATCTGGTCTATTCCAATTGTGATAAACTCTGGGGTGCTTCTATAAAAGCCAGTAGGCCATAGAGAACACCTACTTCGCTATTCCCTTCCCACTTGTGCCGAGAGGGTTCACCCACGTTGGCGGTAGCCTGTCCCCCCACCCCCCCATGCACTTTCTTTCATGCTTTGCTGGCTTCCTGACTCACTGTGATTTCTGCTGACTTTGATGTTTGGATGGAATCAACCTTGTCCTATTAATGTCATGCCTGCTGCGGATGTACCCACTTTACCCCTCCATGTTGTAGCAAATGATCTGTTTTCCATTTCTGCACAGTCGGATTATGTAACAAGCCCACAGTTACACAGCTATTTAATGGTGGTCTGGCATTTGAACATGGGTGATCCGACTCTACGGTCCTCACTGTAAACCGAGGGGGATAAAATAGTCCCAAGGGGGAGAAAGTTTCCTAATGGTCAACACATATTGAGTGGGAAAGGCTACATACTTTTGTTGTTCTCACAAACTGGAATAGTCTTCATGGGTAGCAAAGAAACCCATGGAGGCTGGGCATTGGTTCTCTTCTTTCACCATGTGAGGTCTGGGGGTCAAATTCAGGCCAGTGGGATTAGAGGCAAGTGCCTTTATCCATTGAGCCAGTGTGCTAACCCATTTCACAGGCTGTCACAGAACCTTGAACTCACTGATTCAGTTAGACTGGCTGTCCAGTGAGCCCAGAGAATCCTCCTGTTTCTGCCTCCCCAGTATTGGGATTACAGACGTAACCCTGCCATGCATGGATTTTTACACTGGGGTCCAAACTCAGTTCATCATGCTGTGTGGCAGGCACCACTGACTAAGCCACCTTCCCAGCCTCTGATTGTCACTATTAATCTGAAGTGGAGATGACTTTAAAGGGTAAGGAAAGAGATTGACCAGGTGGCTGAGGTATAAAAAGACTTTAATATTATGAGAATATTTGACATTTTTATTGGAGTGGTGTAGAGCATGCATGCGTAAGCATCTAGGTGGGCATGAAAACCCCCACACTATCCTACCCGTGTGATGTAATTTCAGCCTCAGAGAGCATGCACACCTACCATGACCAGTTAGTATATTTTCTGGCCTTGCATTTATTTTATGAACTTAAAATAAAATTTTATGTTAACTTTTGTTGGCTCAAAAATATAGCACTCACGTAGAAAAGAATGGGAAATAGAATAAACTGTCTATCTGGAGCCAAATATGAATGACCAGGTCCCAAGAGCACACACTCAGGTTGCCCTAAATACCACGTTCTACTGTCGCAGTGGCCACATGAGATTTCACTAGTTGTAGAACAAAGACAAGGTAGGGAAACACAGGTAGGTGGGTTCCGGCTGAAACAGGGAAACCTCTACTGCAAATATAAGAAGCTATCTGGTGATGCTCTTAGTTCTTGGACTGAGGGAAGCTAGTGCTCTTCTAAGAATGCATTTTAAAAGCTTTTGCAGCCATAGCTATGGTAGGGCAGGTACAGAGTGGGCAACAATGGTCTCAGAGGGACTAAACACGGCTCAGGTTTTTTTGGTTCTGGTCACTCTCCACAATCTTGGAGCTCAGTTACTTATCATTTGCTGTAGTTTTAATTCTATTGTTCTGATAAAAAAGACCGGGACAAACAGCAATTTAGGGGATAAAGGGCTAATTTCACCTTCCACTTCCAGGTTACAGCTCATCATTACAAAGAACTCACTGGGCAGGGGCTGGAGACAGCTGACACATCACATCAAGGTCAAGAGGGGAGGTGAGTAAGTCATGCTGGATTACTTGTCTGTACACAGCTCAGCTCTCACAGTCTTATACACTAGGGAATGTGCCACCCACAGTGAGCTGGGTTTTTCCATATCAGTTCCTTAATTAAGACAATCGTCCACAGATCGGTGCAGGGTAGACAACCCCTTGCTGAGTTCCTCTTCCTAGACGCTTCTAGGTCTGTCAAGGTAACAGTTAAACCTCAATGTCATAGCCATGTATAATCTTTAAGACAAGCACAGCTGTTTTCCTTTCTGAGAACTTCAGTTGACATTTGGTACTAGTTACAGATTTATAGCACTATGTCAAGGCAAAATACAGATTTCTCATTTGCCTTGGACTCGGGGTCTTCTAATGCTAGTCTCCTATGTAGTAAAATGTGATAATAGTTTTAAATGTGTCAATGCTGACTTCTTAAAAGGTAGCTGTGTCTTGGGTCTAGAGAGATGCCCAGTGGTTAAGGATGTAAGCTGTTCTTTCCGAGGATCTGAATTCAGCTCCCATGCCAGACAGCTCACAATTGCCTGTGACTCCAGCCCCTGGGGATCTGATACTTCTGGCCACCACAGCACCTGAACTCAAATAGATACAAAATTAAAAATAAAATAAATACTCTCTTTATAAAAGACATGGCCACTGGTGTAATAGCTACACGACTTTTATGGGAATAACCAACTTTTTCTTACCGCACTGAGACATCCTCTGTTTCAGAAAGGAATTCATGACTGGTACTGTAAATCTTGCTCAAAATCCATAGAGGGGGAGGTCACAGACCCTGGGGAAAACCGACTATTGCTGTTTTTCTAAATGGTCATATTGTCAAACTACTTTCTAAATATGATTTTCAACAATTTTAAGGGACTGGTTACAGACAGTGCATCCAGTGCAGTCGCAGCCACATCTGCAGCCATAGCCACAGCCACAGTCACAGCTGTAGGCCTGTACAGATTGTGTGAGATGCTGGCAAATCAGCTCTAAGGACATCTTCTGGAAAAATTACAGAGCTTGTCAATAGTGATCTTACAGAAGAGGCCTGCCTTAGTGACTGCTGCCCCAGCCATAGTAATAAAAAAAACCCACTGTAGTACTGGCACAGGAACACAAACAAATCAATGGAATAGAATAGAGGACTAAGCCATAATTCCATACTCCTATAGCAATTTTGAGTTTTTGGCAAAAGGCCAACAATACATATTGGAGAAAAGACAGGTTCTTCATCAAATGGTGATGGTCAAACTGGGAATGCCCATGCAGAAGAAGGAACGTAAGTCCTTATTTCTCATTCTGCACAAAACTAAATTTCAAATGGACCATAGGCCTTAGCATAAGACTCCAAACTCTAAAACTGCCCAAGGGAAAAGTAGGGAGTACTCTTAAGAACACTGGTATAGGGAGGGGTATACCTATACCTATATGCCAGGACTCAGGTAGGTCATTGGTATAGGGAGGGATATACCTATACCTATATTCAGGACTCAGGTAGGTCAGGAAATTAAGTCAACACTGCAAAATGAGACTTCATGAAATCCAAAAAACTTCTATTTATCAGAGGAAGCTGTTACAGAATGAAGGAACAGATCACAGAAGGGAACAAAATCTTCACCAGCTATACATTCCACAAATTAATATCCAGAGTATACAAAGAGTTAAAAAAAAACCTTAAGAAAACAAACAAATCAACAAAACTGAACCACGGAACTGAACAGTCTTCAAAAACAAAGACAACTCCCAAAACAAATAAGTAAAAAACAAAGACAAATGAACACTTTAAAAACTCTTTCCTATCTTTACCCATGAGGAAATGCAAATCAAAACCACTCTGAGGCCCCATCTTACCTCAGTCAGAATGGCTAAGAACAAGAAAAATAGATGACAACAAAAGTGGTGATGAGGATGCCGGGGATGAAGACTTATTCACTGCTGATGGGAAGGGAAACTGGTGCAACACTATGGAAAGCAGTATGGAGGGTCCTGGAGAAGCTAAACCCAGAGCTACCATGTGACCCAGCCATACCATTGCTGGGCCCATACCCAAAGGACTCTGTCTCCCCCAAGCAGAGATCCTTGTGCATCCATGTTCATGGCTGCCCTATTCACAACAGCTATGAAGCAGAGTAAACTTAGATGTTCATCAGCTGGTGAATAGGTAAGGCGAATATGATGCAAACACACAGCGGAGATTGGGTTATCTGTAGAGAGAAACATATTTATGAAGTTTGCAGGTAAAAGAGTGTACAGAATAAGGCAATCCAAACCCAGAAAGACAAACAACACACGTTCCTTCTTGCATGCAATTTTAGCTTCAATTTCTAGATGTCTGTGTTTAACTTGTGCCTGTAAAGACCAGGAATCTAGAAAGGGGCCACTGGCTGGGGAAAGGGCATTAAAGGATGGGGCTAATAGAACACACACAATATTGAAGTGTGGCAGAGGATATTGGTGGTGGGAAGGTTCACACGAGGATGAGAGTGGAACGGTAGGGGGGATTAGTAGGGGTATTGAGGGATGAAAAAGACATATGGAATTGTAATAGCTTGTAAGCTAATTAAAAATATAATACAAAATGAGTTTGAAGGGAGACATCCAGCATATGTAGGTAACGATGCTCCCAAAAGCCATTGGTTACTACACAAAATTCCGGTTCCCAGTGTAGGGTGTGAAAACAGCAGTGGGTGGGCCAGAAAGGTGGCTCAGGTAAAGACACACTCTACCAAGCCTGACAACCTGAGTTCAAAGCCTGGGAAGAAGAGAACAGACTCCTACAAGTCCTTTGATCTTCACATGTACTGTGGGCTACTGCCCTGTATAGGTACATGTACTAAATAAATAAGGTAATAAGAAATAAAGAAAAAAAGGTGGGGCTTCTTGGGAAGAAATAGGATTATGTGGGAAGGTGAAGGGATAAGAGAGGACAATGGGCAAGACTATGATCAAGTGTACACGCATGTGCACTCGTGCATGCGCCCAAGCAATGCTACTGTGAATATGTGAAAGTCAGAGGACAAGTCAGCTCTCTCCTTCCACATTATTGGTCTCAGGGATCAAACTCAGGTCATCAGGCTTGGCCGCAGGCACCTTCACCTGCTCAACCCTCTCACTTGGCCCTGAAAAATCCTTTTTGTAGAATCCAGCTCAACTTGTGAGTTAGCTCATGCTGCTGTGTGTGGAGTCTCTTCTGGATGCCCTGGGGAGGGATGATGGATGTATTTCCTGGGAAGATGTGCTGTGCAAAGCAGAGCAGGAAAACACTAGTGTGACCCAGCTGCAGCTGACTGATTGGGAGGGAGGAAGTGTAGGGACAAGACAGTGGGTTATTTATTGGCTTGACAAAATCAGAAACTCTTTATAGGGTTCTGAAACACTTAAGGGGTATGTCTACTGGAGAGAGGGGGAGGGGAGAGAGTGACAGAAAGATACAGAGAGAAACATACATAAACACACACACACACACACACACACCCACAGAGAGAGAGAGAGAGAGAGAGAGAGAGAGAGAGAGAGAGAATATACCCTGGCATGTGGAGGATAGAGAGCAACCTGCACATGTCCATCACTCTCCCTTCCACTATGGGACTAGGAATCAAACTCAGGTCATCAAGCTTGTTTGGCAAACACCTCTATCTGCTGAGCCAGCTTGCTAAAGGCATTTGGATGTCCTCTGTATTTTACAACAATCACTAGAAAGTGTGAAATAAAATTTTTTTTTATAAATGCTCACATGGAAGAGAAGATATCTAGTCATTCATAAACAAATACCAAATGATGTGGTGACCATGGGTATCTAATTATTTTTTCTATATTACATTCATTTGTGTGTGTGCGCGCATGTGTGTGCATGTGTGTGCATGTGTGCCTTTCTATGCCTGTACAGGCTGCAAAACATCAGAGGATAAGTTATGGTGAATTAGTTCTTTCCTTCCACCAAGTGGATCCCTGAGGTTTGAACTTAGGTCCTCAGTTTTGGTGGCAAATGATGTTATCCAGTGAGCCACCTCACTAGCCCTGGATACTTAACTACAACCACAAAGCTGAAATACATGAAAGGGGCTTTGGAGAAGTGGGCTCAGGGCCTCAGCAGGCAAAGGATGGCAGAGACACTCTGAGATCTAGTCTGGAACTAAAAACTGGGCGTTGGGGACATACTGGGGATGTTGGGTGATATGTTGGCTACATTGTTGATGTACTGGGAATACACTGGGGATAGGACAACTGTGAATACACTATGATAAACAGATTGCTTTCTGTGGAATGTCATGTTAATACAGACGATGAATAGCAGGGACACAAAATGAAGCTACCTGTCATAATTGCAGGAGAGAAAGGAACACCCCATTAAAAAAAAAGGCTAAGAAAGTGTCTGACTGCTCAGCTGTGAAACAGAAAAAGCTGTCACGATGCCTCCAGAGGCAGGGGGCAGGGAGGAGAATACACAGGAACCTCGGCTGACTTGTGGTGCAATCAGATTGTTCTATTCACGTGTGCAAGTAGGAAGGGACCTATGTGACTCAAATGAACTGGTCCTCAGGTTCAAACCAGACGGGAGGCCCAGGACTGGGGGGGGGGTAGTGGACACAAGGTCCCACCCCTAACTGAGAAGGTGTTTGCAACTGTCACCCACTGGCAAAGGGAAAAATCCGTTTTCTCCAATGGAGTGTTACTGGGTCTATTAGCTCCACTTCCGGACTGGCTCCTTGCCCAGAAATAGATGATCAACATAAAACAAACTGTTTCGTTTTATAATTATTTTGTCCTATTGGTCTTTTGCTTATGTGTTCTGATTTTCATTTTTGTGTTTGGAGGGAGGGAGGGAGGGAGGGAAGGAGAGAGAGAGAGAGAGAGAGAGAAGAGAGAGAGAGAGAGAGAGTATACAAAGTTGGGTAGATGGAGAGGTGGGGAGAATCTGTGAGGAGCTTCAGGGGTGGCTAATCCATGGTTTGCTGGCATCGAAAGTTTGATCATTACTCAAGATCAGGGATGCAGAGGTAGGGAGGGACTTTGTTTATAGGCTCTGCCAGTCCCAGAGTCCTTAGGGACACCCCTAAGGAGACTGGGTCTTCTCTGTTTTGGGATTGCTTGTTCCTTCTGAGAGTTTCACTCTTCCCAGCTGAGCTGGTCAATTATGGGGGAGAGGGGCCTGGTTTCTGCAGGCTGTTAGACCTTGAGACATTTAAAGGCACAGGTTCATCATCTAGCACAGCCAGCCCATGGGTGACATTTGGGACTGAAGAGAAAGAGAAGTACATCCAAGATACCACATGGAAAAAGTAATGCAAACATATTTGTTAAGAAAAAGAGGAACAGAAAAGACTACAGTGTTCATACACCTGCTCTGTCTCAGGCAGGGAGTCTCACGTTGAAGAAGGCAGCTTCTCACATCAGAGTGTGAGCCTTAACTGGTTGACAGGTAACGGCTGCCTCTAACAGACTGTCTAGAAGCAGGGGAAACATGTTCTCCTCTGAGGAGAAATCTGGGAGATCCTCCCACAATCCACCATGAATCTCTAAGTGAGGAGAGAGCTAGTGGGTTCATTACCTTATTTAATTCGTGTGTGTGTGTGTGTGTGTGTGTGTGTGTGTGTGTGTGTGTGTGTGTTTGTCTTAATTAGACAATATCCAGCCCACTGTGAATGGCACCATTTCCTAGGCTGGGGTCATCAACTGTATGAATGGAGAAACTGAGTTGAACGCAAGGGAGTGAGCATACATGCGCGTATTTCTGTATGTTCCTGACTGTTGTTATGATGTGCCCGGTTGTCTCAAGCTCCCACCATCCTGACCGCCCTTTGGTGATGGACTGTCACCTGGAATGCAAGTGCTTTTTGTCAGAGCATATTTATCACATCAACAGAAGGGAAAGCAGGGTACACACAGAGGATGAGGACTCTTCTGGAAAAAAAGAATCTCAGTGCTTTTGTCAACATACTGAGGCCAATAGGCAGGGCGATGAGCTGGCACGAACATGAGACATGTCCATTCACCTGGCAGAATAGTATGGAAGCAGCAACTGAGGCAAGCTGGCTCTCAGCCAGCAGTGCATGGGGTTGCAGGCTTCTTGCAGATCCAGAACTTTTGGAGTTCACATTTGGAGTCATTCCAGCCATCCCCAGAGAATTCCACACAGTCTTCTTCCCCAACGTTGTTAGGCTCCCCTCTATTCCAATACTTCTGGAATCTGGATAGTCAGTCAACAAAACATTAGTCTGCTCCAGTGGCCTGCTGGGAACCACGTTCTTAGCTTTCTGGAACTCAAGGTCTCATATCCTCCCAGAATGCATATGGTAGGTGGGCCTTGTTCTGAATTCAGGGACATGCCTGAGTCAGGTGGCTTTGGATTCTGACTCTAGTTATGTTTTATATTGAGAGAGTGGTTTTCAGATGTAAACCCACCAATCTGGACTCCACCTTCCTTACTGGGTTCTTGTACTCTGGACCACAGTGCACCTGGCCCATGCCAAGCACCAGTCAGCTGGGGATTAGGACCCTGAGGGCAAGCTAATAGATGCTAAGCCTGTTTCTCCTGTTCTTCTGTGTGGACACCAAAATAGGGCTCTTTCCACTGTGTGTCCTTCCCTTATATTCTGACCTATTGTGGCTCCTCCCCAAGCTCTCTGTGTCCTGCTGTGAGATCTGGGAGCATCTTTATAAACTTCCTTTAAGCGATTTTTGTCCTCCTCCCCTTCCATTCCCCCCACTCTCTTTTCCCTACTGTCCCCTTCCTTCTTCCCTCTTTCCTTTTTGAGACAGGGTCTCATGCAGCCCAGGCTGGCTCAGAACTCAGTGTGTAGCCAGAGATAACATTGAACTTCTGATCTTTCTCCTGATACCTCCCAAGTGCTGGGGTTATAGGCATGGGCCACCATTCCAGATTATGCAGTACTGGGGATCAAACCCATGACTCCATCATGCTACTATATAAACACACTTATATACCCAACCCAACAGGCCATCTTCCCATGGTAATAGTCCCTTCACCCTGGACTTACTTTATTTGATATTTTCTATTAATATCCTACATTAAAATCCATACCCCTCAGGGGGAAGCATCTTGCTACGTTGATGGTGGGATTTGCTGCTATTCTGTCTATGCATGGGTAGGAAGACCTTCTTCCATCAGCAAATGTGGCAGCTTTATTTCTAAGGGGCCAGGGAGGGGGTTGAGCCCCAAAGATGGCTCAAGTCAGAGCATCAAAGCCCTGTCTACACTCTACAGGTTCTGCCCCTTTTCCTGGATCTACCTGGATGACAGAGGTGAGCCATCTACCCAGAGCCATGTGGCTTCCTTGTTCAGGTCTGACAGCCCCATCCAGGTTGGTCCTTTAGCCTTAGAAGTCTGCTGCAGGAAGGTCTAGAGGAGAAGAGGAGGAGAGTCAGGGGGGATCTCCCCCCATACTTTCAGTTTGTGCATCCCCAAACTCTTGCAGGAAGTTCTATTTGCTATCTGGTCTTTCCCCTTCCTCTCTTCGGCCACGAGCTCTCACGTGTGCTTAGATGATATCAGCTATTTTTACATCTGGAGACTATAGGCACATGCACTCTGGCACAGGGTGGTACCCTGCTGGTTGGACATAGAGGCACATGCCTTTAATCTCAGAACTCCACAGGATCTCTGTGAGGTTCAGGCCAGCCAGAGCTACAGGGCTACTGTCTAAAAAATAACACCACCATATTTTAAAAAAAGGAAACACACAGCTGGCCTCGCCAAACTTACCTGCTAATGTTGCACAATCTCTCTTAAGAATTCTGAGTAAGTCTATAGAATTTCTTCATGATTGCCTTTAATGTTCTGGAAGCAGATTATACTAAT